AATTATTAATTCTGTCTGTTCAATGTGAACTCCACCAATGTAATTATTAATTCTGTCTGTTCAATGTGAACTATACCAATGTGAATTACACCAATGTGAATTATTAATTTTTTCTGTTCAATGTGAACTATACCAATGTGAATTATTAATTTTTTCTGTTCAATGTGAACTATACCAATGTGAATTATTAATTATGTCTGTTCAATGTGAAGTACACCAATGTGAATTATTAATTTTATATTTAATAGTTCATACAATATATCAAACAATAATTCTCAACTATATCTACAAGTCCCTCGTTAAATAGTTTTGTTGTAATCATCATGGTAACCATGCTTACTTGCTCCAATCTAGTGGTACATTTCTCATGACATCAGCAGTATGACATGGATGCAACTGATAAAACGGTCGGCATAATATAGGATGGTCCTGTAATACACATAAGAGATGCAACTTCTATTCACAAATCTGGCGTTTAATTTTGGTGAATAATGTTTTGTTTTCATACACTAATTTAGTGAAATATTTTCAAAATTGTATAAAATTGATCATACCTGTTGGGTGACAAATGACCATTTTTCTTCTTTTACATGTGTTTGATATAAACAGGGAATATTTTCCCAAATTTCATCTAAAGTCAGGAGTCTACCATCTATTAAAAAGGAAAACATAGTTAAACTATTGACACCTTGCCTGTGATTGCTCATGAACTATAATAGAAAACCTGCTTCACTGTAAACTACTTGTACTAAGATGTAGTTAGATATTGTCCAACATAGACAAATATGACATTTCTCACCCGCTGATCTAATAGTACAACCTTTGGTTGCCTAGCAATGTGAAGGGCATCATGGCTAGAACTATCTTAAAGAATCATTTTTTTTTCTTTTCTCTGTGCAGAATAGAACCCTGTCTCTGTGATCGTGAATTGTGCCAGGGAGGTTTGGCAGGTAGTGTAAGTACATGCAGTTGGCAGCAAACAATGGAACTTTCTGAAACAGTTCCTAGTTTATATCATCAATACCAAACTACTACTATTTGGATATAGATATATATTGTCTAATAAAGACAAATATGGGATCAAGTCTGAATTAAGAAGCAAACAGCCTGCAAAGTTTCATCGATATCTGTTGCAGAATTTCTGAGAAAATGTCACAGACGAAAACAGGAAACAGGAAATAAGAAACTATACTTCCCTTTTCAGGCTGCGCCTGAAATAGTGACTAAAAAAGTGCAGACAAATTTGGGTAGGAAAGTTTTGTGGTGGAAAGGTTAAAGAAAAAGACCAACAGAATTTGTGACAACCGACATCAACAGAATTGGATAAACTTCTAGATCTAAGGAAATGGACCTCTCCAAGTTTGTTTGCTGGTGTTAGATCTTGCTCAGGTTTCTAATAATCAGGGATGGCAGCCATCTTGAATTTTTATAATCCATCCAAAGAAAAAAACACTTTGCAGTGTCACAATATTTGTCACTAAATGGCACAGCTACAGATGCACAAGTGAAAGTGTGTGATAGAAAACAAGAATTTATGTTGGCCCAATTCTTCTTGCTGCACAGCTAATCTCTTACGGCAGTATTCAGACAACAAAACGGACACCAGTTGACCATTTCGAATTTGATCTGGTACAAAGTGATGTACATCAAGGTCCTACAATGTTCAATGTATGCGCCTAGTTTGAATGAAATCCACGCATATATGTGCAAGATCATTTTGATGAATTGCACAACAATTGACCAACTGAATCGTGAAAGTTAAATGTAATGTTGTAATGTGTGAAATTTGAACCTAATCGCTCCAGAGATGTCAGAAATATGAATACATAGAAGTGATTATATAAGTCCTAGTTATGGACATTTTCTTGTTTGCAAGAAGACCATATCTGAGAAACATGGAAATGTTATTTATTGGTGGTTTTTTGAACCAAATGGAAACCAGTCAGCCATTGTGAATCAAGTCAAGAAACAAAATGACCAGCATCAGTTATACATGATGTTTAATTAACATGAACATGTCCACAATCCAAACATATATGTCATTACTTTGATGTCAATTTAATTGGTTTTAGAAGTGCTGGAGAGAATATAACTTTTCCCAATGGGAACTAATAATCACTTGTAGTAAACAAAAAAAATTATAAAATTATGGCACTGACCTTCTTTATAAGAATTAAAATAGAGTACAGGTAAAGAATAGCTGTCACTGTATATGATATGATACTCATATGAACACAGACCAGATAAAGATGAACTTTGTAACGCTCTACACTCCTATTTCAGAAAGAAACATGACGAAATATTTATATGTAATAAATTCTAAATATAGCCATGTAATAAATCCTAAATATAGCCATGTAATAAATCCTAAATATAGCCATGCAATAAATTCTAAATATAGCCATGTAATAAATCCTAAATATAGCCATGTAATAAATCCTAAATATAGCCATGTAATAAATCCTATATATAGCCATGTAATAAATCCTATATATAGCCATGTAATAAATTCTAAATATAGCCATGTATTAAATCCTATATATAGCCATGTAATAAATCCTATATATAGCCATGTAATAAATCCTATATATAGCCATGTAATAAATTCTAAATATAGCCATGTAATAAATCCTATATATAGCCATGTAATAAATCCTAAATATAGCCATGTAATGAATCCTAAATATAGCCATGGTTATATATAAATGGTTTTACAGTATTAGAGCATTTAAGTACTTTGTGTATGTAGTCAATCTAAATAGGGAACACAGCATATGACAAAATTAATGTGCTGTTAATATACTGTAAAATACTTTATTTTCGCTTGGAATTATTTTTTGCTATTGCCGCTGAAGGAATGATGCAGTGAGAATAAAATCCAGCAAATAAACCTATTAACACTCAAAACGAATGTCTTTTCAGCAAAAATTAATTTCAGCTAAAATAAAGTACTAGTATGTTACAGTTTAATACAAACTAAATGTTAGAACATTTGGTTGAGCAGTTTTTGAGTTTGTGAGAAATAGTTTTTTGAACATTTTGTCATTTTCTGTTAATTTAACTATGTAAGTAACCATTATAATTATGTGTTCAAGTTGTAATGATATATAAGCTTTGTTCCTACAATGCAACTAATCAAGCTGCATCACTCTAAGTACTCACAAGAAAAAATGATAAACATTTTGGAAATTTTTGCTCGGTATCCAAGTTTGGATATAGAGAAGCAAAATGAAAAATTTCAAAATAATCAGGAAAATGTGTCTTCATTAAAAAAAAAACAGCCAAACATTGTAAAGAGTTCTTCAAACTTTAATGACCATTATACATGGATGCTACAATTGCAGCTCAGTTCCAGGGCGGTAGGCATAAGTGTAAGATAAGCCACGATTGGTGACAATTTTTAAATGTTGACAATTTATTTGAATAATGACAATAACAAAATACATTTACTCTGAATAACTATGTCTAAATGTAGCTTATATTATTTAATTCCACATTCGATTTGAATCGCTTTGTATCCTTCGAGCCGTAAATTATGAATTAGCGGCATAAGAAGTATTGAACAGGTGAGTACCTTGTTTTAAATAAGGCAGACATGCATAATAATGCGAAGAAGATCAAGGTACACGTAAACAATGGTACGAGCATTGGATGAAAAATTGCAGGTCACCTGTTATATATGGCGATCACCTATTAGTTAGCTTTGAATGATTATTATGAAGAGTGCGGTGAAAGCGTCCTACATTCAAACATTTTGAAATAGTGCACAGCCATGTTTTGTACGCGCTCGATGTACATTTTCTTAAACTCAGAGTCAGAGCAAGACACAAAACCAATACATGTACAAGTTCGAGCCAAAACATGTCACCAAGGTAATACTCATAGTACCGGGTACTTTTTTTTTTATTTCTAGAATGTTACTAATAACTTTCAAGAAGAAAAATATTCATGTATTATTCTACTAACCCAGGCACTTTTACCTACCGCCCTTGCTCAGTTTAGTGTTTTATTTTTGAATATTCATTATGAAGGAAAAGATCACATGCCCACTAAAGTTTTTATTTGTGGAACAGGTAACCCATATACTAATAATGCTACAGAATAAAGCAAGGAAGTATTCAAAATGACTACTTCCAATTTAATTGCAATTAGAGATGGCTGCCAACAATCAACATTCTGAGTGTCAGGTGTACCAGTTCACATTAGGTCCTATCAGTAGAGAAAGTTTCAGGCAATTCTGTTCAGCATTTTTCTCAAACATGCTCACAAAAAAAGTGGAAGAAGAATTTGATGATAACAATTAAGCTTCAAAAGCCAAAGGTTTGGACCAATAAAACTATCACCTCAAATAGAGAATCATCTGAGTCACTAGAAAGTCCTAATTCTCCATCTGTTGTTGTCATGGTAATGGTTTCTTCCTTACATTCATCACTACAGTTCTTTTTCATCTTTCGATAAACATGTTTTTTCATCAATATTTCTTTCCCTGGCTCTTCCTAAGAAACAGAAAAAAAATTGCTGCCTTTTATTGAATAATTTCTAATCATATTTTGTATCATACCGTAAATGCTTAAACTTGCTATAAGTTTATATAAAATATACCTATTGTTAAGTATTAAACAGTGAAATTAAATGCCAGTTAAAATAAATGGTTTTA